TTTAGGAGTAGATTAGACAAAAAGCCATAATATTTTTCTTACTTATAATTATTTAGTATCACCAGGCACAGTGCAAATTCCGTTTACAAAACACTTTTTATTTTGCAAAAATGAAGACCATGAGTAAACAGCTGTTTCCTAACCCATGGCTGTTTTGAATCTTTTGCCAAAGAATGACAGTGATCCAAAAATGAGAACAGTTTGGATTTCAATTAGAACTGTTTAGGAATGATGATGTGTAAAAGATTGACTTTTTTTCTGCATGGCATAGAGAAATTATATTCATTACTTAGTATAGTTTATGTTCTAAATCTTTTTACAGTGAAGACAAAAATCTTGTTAAAGCCACTAGGCAACAACTTAAAGAGACTTGTAAGAATATTAAAAGGATATCATTAATTCTGTATCTGTTGCTTGTCCTTTGTAGTGATATATGTTATGATCAGGTGGTTCAGCTGCCAAATTATTTTTAAATGATCTAAAAGAAGAGTGCTATTTAAACATCTGTCTTAAAATGACAAAGACTGTCATGAGCCTTTCTTTTTTTTTTTTTTCCTTTGGGAGAACATGCTAGTTGGTAAGTCTGTTTCCTTTCAAAATGTACTTGGCACCTGCCTTAAACAGCACAAACATATTGTGCACATCTTTGAATTATTTTAACTACAGAAAAGAATTAACATTTTAAACTAAAATTGAGGCCTCTTACAAAAATTATCCAGGCTCTTTTGTAAAGCTTATAAAAGTAAATTGAATATAATGAGCAAAAACAGACACTAAAATTAATAATATTTTGTAGTAATAAACAATATATTTTGGTCTTTCTTCCAAGAACTGAGATTTTCTCTATATGAATTATAATTTAATCTCTGTTTTAATTTTGAGCTGTATTAATGTGTATATTGAACCCATCATTCTCAGTTGAGTAACACTAATATAACAATACCTGAGACCTAAATTTTAAACTAAAAGTTACCGTTTTTTTTTTTGGTAAATAAACTACAAGTTTGTCAGAAATTACTGCTTAAATGTGTATTAATGTATTAGCATTTTTTTTTTTTTGTAGGGGAGAGAAAGATTAGCCCTGAGCTAACATCCTATGCCAATCCTCCTCTTTTTGCTGAGGAAGACTGGCTGTGGGCTAACATCCATGCCCATCTTCCTCTACTTTATATGGGATGCCGCCACAGCATGGCTTGACGAGTGGTGCATCTGTGCGTGCCCGGGATCCCAACCTGTGAACCCTGGGATGCTGAAGTGGAGTGCACGCACTTAACCGCTACACCACCAGGCAGACCCCAATGTATTAGTATTTTTTAAGGTAAAGTGGCTATGGTATTTAATATATGTATAGAAAGTGAGAAGAAATGAAGTGGCATATTAGTTAGAGATAGAATTTAGGAATAGGTTAGTTTTGATGTTGTATATATAGGTTCTAGCACATCCCACTATCAAAACCCCATAGGGAGGCCAGATAGGTGGAGCCTGGTTAATCAGGGATTACGGACATTTTGAACTAATATTGACAATGTAAATCCATTTTAGGACTAGTATACATGTGGTGTATGGATTGGTGGGAAGAAGGAAAAGTTAAACTATATAGTTTGTAATCCATAAACCATTTTATAATGTTCAAAGATGAGGTTCCATTACTGATAGTCTTAAATACACTTACCCTGAACATCAATGTTCAGAGTCAAAACATTTTCCTGGATTTTGGAATGTTAACCCAGAACTTGTTTTGATTCTTGGATGTATATAATAGTGCCAACTAACTTTATTTACTTTCTTGTTTACATGTGGGGGCCTTTGTTTTTGAAAATTATTTTGTTAAAAAAAGTCCCAATAAAGATTTATTGCTGTTAATGCTTTTTTGTTAATGTCTTTTACTCTCTTTTTGGCTTCTGCTAAAGTTAAAATTTTTATGCATATCTGGAAATTTTTCAGAAGAATGATTTTTGTTATTTTCCTGGAAGGGAAATTAGATAACTCTGCTACTTACATTTGAACAAAAATTGTCTCTTTAAAAGTTAGTAATTGGTACAGGACTGATGTTTGTGAATGGAGTAAGCCTAAGAATCAGTGGTTTCCCATGAAATTGATCTGGTAATTCTTTTCCTAGAACTTCCATGGGATAAACATTTAAAAATATTTTTTAACAGATAATTATTAGTGATTTCTTTCATTTCAGTCGAATGTGGATGCCACAGAAGACTTTGGGACCCAAAGGAAGTATTGTAGGCAAGTGGTGAGTTAGCCATGAGCAGGGGAAGAGATAAAAACTGACAAACCACGGTAGAAGAAGCCTCTCAGGTGGCCCCCCATCAACACCCACAGCGACCTGTTTGCAGCCCGACATGCACATAGCTAGTTTCTACCTGCTGTGTCCTGACCTCGCCCTTATTAGGCTTAAATCATAATAAATTTACATTGCAGTGTTGACCCCCCCTTGCAGGGGATAGAAGCCATGACAGTTCCACCAAGGACCATCTAAGGAGAAAAACTTCCCCTCCCAACGTGGAGGAGGGGACAGCAAGCTGATGGGTAGAATGCCTTCAAACCCCCGTCTTTTCCCGCTGCTCACAAATAAACCTATATAAGCCACAAGCCACCCAGACCTCACGCAGTCACTCCCCTTAAGCCTGCCAGCTCCCTCTCTTGGAGTGTACTTTGCTTTGCAAATAAATCCCTTCTTGCTTTGAACTCATCTTTGTGTGTTCCCTCACAAATTCTTTTGTGAGGCCAAACAAGACCTTGGAAAAACCGATCCCCTCTCCCGGTAACAGAAGGAATAGAGTCATTCTGATCTGGCTACATTGATAAAATGCTCTGGTGGCAGTTTTCACAATCACTATAAATTTGTAATGTTATGTTGTCCTTTGCTAAAAATAAAACTTCCTTCTGAGCCCCTAAGATTAGGAAACAGGATTCTTATACATTGAGTTTAATGAAAATACTGATTTTTTAAACTTGCTTTCCCTAACTTCCCATTTTTGGCAAAAGGATTTCTTTAACAACTGTATTCCAACAGGTTGCCAATAGAAAGAGAGCAGAAGAATAGAGCAATTTCTCTGTTACCGAAAAGGATGCAGCGTAGTGGCACATTCTGTACTGGATGTGAAAGTCACGGATGGAGGAAATTGCAGAGTATCAGAGAAGTAGAATGTGGTATGAAGATGTCACTACTAACGATAGTAACACCTGGTCTTAGAAGACATAAAATGATGGTTGGTTAGGTGATTGTGTAGCACAGACTGTACTCTGAGGAGAGTACCTGGTTAGGGCAGGGGCTAGTGGAAAGGGCTCAAGATTGTGACCCTGTAGACCAGAGCGGGGATCCTGGCAGCCTATGGGCTTTATGTGATTTGACCTGCGCAGCGATGTATATTTTATTATTTGCGTTTAAATGCCTTTAGGAGAAGCCTGTGCTCTCCCCTTGGCCATGTGTACATTCCTTACTAGCCCAATAGCCACACTCTAGTCTGATCCCTGTGGGCGGAATTTAAATAAGTACTCCTATTTCATACACTCCTATGTTAAAACAGTGTGTGTCCACGTGTGAAGTGAGACCTATGATGACTTTCTCCCTTGATGCCATTACTCTACATGAATAGGTTTTTTGCAGCTATGGAAAAACAGATCAACTCTTCAATTTGCTCTCTGTAGGAGCTGAGTCTCATAAAGCGATTTAAGACCATTCTTTTAACCTTAGTTTCTTCCAGAGACAGTTGGGTTGAATCTGCTTTAGAGGAAGCCTGAGGATTGTGAAGTCTGATTTCAGGTACCCTACTGCTGGACACCACACACACCTCTCCCCCAGTCCCCGCCATCCCCCCAGGAACTTGAAAACACACACACACCTCTCATCCCCGAACACTGAAAATATTTCTTTAACTAGACAAATCTTACCACCATTAGAGATGGAAAGGTAAATTTTGAGTAAGTTTGTCAACCACCTCTACCGGGTAAAATTGAATGTGCCAATCGGTATAAGTGACAAACAGGTCTTTCCATTTTAATGGACAACTCTACTGAATTCCTGAAGTTTTTGATCACAGAAGAGCTCACAAGACCATACGATGGATGGCTGTATGGCTCGTCAGCTTTTGACGTTTATTCCCCAAAGTATGAACATAGATACTGCACAGTAAATTACATTTGTCGTCATTTGTCGTTTGTTTAGAATTCTAATCATTAACCATTTTCTGTTTTTAAAAAGATCAATATCTATTGAGATATTATCTCAATGTAGTTAGAAAATACAGTCTCAAAACTCACTAATACAAATGAGTTAATAGTAAACCAGTGCATTTACAACTAACTTGTGAATAGCTAAATAAAGAATTGCTATATCAATATTAAGTATTGATTCAAAATAATTCCTTTTAGGGAGAAAAATTGGTTCCCAATGTTAGTTGTATCTACACTTGAAAAGAATGACCTTAATGGATGAATGTCTGACAATATTATGATCTAAACATACAGCAAGATATGTACATGCTGTTTTTGTTATATAAAGTAAGGCAGATTAAACATTCCCAGCAGATTCATATTTAAAGTGCAAAAAAGTCACTATTCTAGATTTATATTGCATTACATTTTAATTCTATTTGCAAGTTTCAAAGATGTGCATGTGTGCATTTTTATGTGTATGTGTGTGTACATCCCACCCCGCCTCTTGCAAACTAAAGAATCCCACCCCAGCTAATGTGTGTATTGAGCAGGTGAATTATCCAGAGAAGGTACTTATACATCCACAAAGCGAATAATTTGGAATTTACTCTTGAATAAGAAAAGCCATTATATGTCTAATATATTTAACACCTCCTGGTGGTTAATGTACGCCTAAGCGTGGAGGATCAGGCTGCTGAAAACTATGTTTTTTTAATGATATGTCAAAGTTTCTCTCCATCCAATTAATGGTGATTATATGTGTGCAGACGTGATCTACATAGACTGTGACCTGTATAATGCTTGGTTTTTATTAATATCATAAAAAAAGAGACTGGACAGTATAATTTATTTAGTAAGCATTCTAAGTCAATAATAAAGCTTGGTGTGATTGTTCCCATTTTTGTTATATAAAATAAGTTAGATAAACATAGCCAGCAGATTTACATTCAAAATGCAAAAAAAAAAAGTCGCTGTTTGATATTGATATCACAGTATGGTTTGCTTCTACTTGCAAGTTTCAAAGAAGTGCATTCTTATAAATTAAATATGTTCCTTGAGATACAATTCCCTGAATTGAAAAGCTCAATATATCAAACTTTTCCATTAATAATAAATCATTCCAATCAATTAAACCAAAAGTGATAGTCTTTTTTGATAGGATCCCAGATGACTTTCTGGGTTGTGATATTTTAAAAATAAATTATGTTATTAAATTAGGCACCCTTCAAGTTTGTAGCCGTTGTTAACAGCACACGCCTTCATTCATTTAACCAGGATTGTGTGCCCGGTATGAGCACTTTCCCAGACACTGGAGAAACAACAGCAGACAAACAGATATCTTCCCGGCACTTTACAGCTTATAGAAGAAGAGAAGTTTGGGCCTCAAGAATCCATAAAGCATATTTTCTATAGCTAAACATCAAAAAAGCCTCTTTTGAAACACACTTTGGGTGCTATGCCCTAAATATTGGCTTCAAAGGTGTCGCTTCTGATTAAGATCTGTTCCTAAATGCAGTAATAAAATTCGAAGGTACCTCTGGCTCTTAAGTGCAAAACTTTTAGTTCAAACAAACAGCTGATGGTAAGCAGGACACTGGTTAAGGAATTTTTTAATTGGATCTTCTGTGGTGATATTCTTTAACTATGTGACATTAGTAACTGAAATGTTAAAAAGCTAATATACAGCCTTTGAAGAAGGAAACTTTAAAAGACCCATGTGCACACTCACGTGTGTGTGTGTGGGGAGAGAGAGAGAGAATCATTGTTTTATTCGTATTAGTATCTTTGGCGTAAAATGTACCATGTGGCTTCTGAGAATAATTATTTTAAAGAAAATAATTCATCAATATAATTTAAGTTGTATTAAAGTAGAAAAGAAAAGCCTCTGCAAAAGTTATTGATATAAAATGATTTTTGAAGGCAACCAAATAACTAATTTCTATTTTTGTTGGAGAAAAGAAAAGAATGAAAAAATGAATCAATCGGCTATTACACAATAGGAAATCTTATCTGCATTCAAGGTGCTCCTTAGAAATAGTAAATAAACTCTGATTCAGACTTGTTTTCACCCGTTTTTCTCTCTGTCTTCGGTTGCAAAACCAAACTCTTACTACTTCTTTCTCCAGATTGAGTTCTTCAGCCATCCGCATGATCTCCTGAGAGGAAGGTTTATTCTGTTCTCCAAAGTGTCTCTCCAGAGCATCTTTAGCAGCAATACTGAGAGGTGGGTGGGTGGGAGGGGAAAGAAAGGGTAAGGTTATGTTTTTAGTGATGTTTTTGGCAGATCAAAATTAAGTTAGGTTGCATTTCCTAAACATTAACGTGAAAAGGAAACTTAAAGACTCTGAAAACACTTTTGAAGCTCTTCAACAAAGCGTACAATTTGTCGAATGTGTAGATGCTCGTCTCAGGCAGGGTACTGTTTGCAGAGTCACAGCAAGAAATAAGGAGGGGAACCAGCCCATCTGTGTTTATCCACTTTGTGCCACAAGAGGGCACTGACATTCTGAGAAGGACGTGAACACTTCTGTAGGCATTGTAAATGTCCCCAGAAATCATTTAGGTTGTTCACAGTAGATGAAATATTTAGTGAACAACTAACCAACCAAAACAAAACCTACGGTATTTGAGCATTTCCTCTGCGAGCCTCACGGAAATTACAAAAAAATCAGTGAACAATCTTTCTGGTTTGAAATGCAAGGAGTCGCCTTGGACTTGAAGAGACTGAAGTGCTGACGACTAGTTTTGTTCTTTTTAGTAACAGATACCGTAACGCCAGCGCAAGACTCGTATCTAACAGGACAGCAGAGACTCACTCTTCTCAGAAGTGGTTGCACAGGTTCTGTTTTATGTGGAGCAAAAGTACTCTTGAATCATAGCACATGCTTTGCAGCAAATGTTTAGAATTACTAGCTCTCCATTTCTCACTGTTATTAAATGCTGCTTTTCCACCTGTTTTTTCAATGGGCTCTAGTCACCTTACATTCATATGTCATGTTGCACCTATGCTCATTCCATCTGTAAAAGATCTGTCTCTTCCCCTAGTACCTTATAGTCGTTCTCCGTTTCCTTTTCCTTTCATTTACTCCCACTTTTTCATTGTACAAAGCTGGAATGGAGAAAAGAGGAATGATTACAAAAACAAAGTGGGTTTTTTTTTTAAAAACTATCAGATTTGGATTTCAAGTTTTCTTTATAAAACAATCTAAAATAAAATTACTGTACATTTTTGTTTCAAATTTTTGCAGTCTATGTCATTTTATATTACAAGCCCTAGATAAAAATGTTAATACAGAGATAAATATTAACTTTGCAAAGACAATTGTCTATAAATTATATCCTTACCTTACTTTTGTTGGAACGCTTGCTCTAAATGCTCTCAAACCTTACCCTTTATCAGCCTTGACATTAGTATGACTAATTTTATCACATTAAATAATTTTATCACATTAAATTGCTCATCTAGCAATTGCTTATGTTATTCAGAGGAAGACTGGTGTGTCGAATGCTCTGGTTACACACGTTAGGTTATAAGAATAATTCATGTACAATTACTACAGTAGAGCACAGAGACAGAAAGAATCTGGATGTGTTTTAACAAAATCATTTCGCCACTTCACACCTAAGCCACATTATCTAGAAGGCTTTCTTTAAACATCTTTTCTCTCTCTATCTTCTCAGTAAATTTATTTCTACACTTCTATTGGCCTTCCTTTTTTTTTAGTGTGATACAGCAAGATATCTATTTTTTATCTCAAAGAGAAAAACCAAACCAAAACCAAACCCCACCCCTCTCGCTGTAGTATCAATCCTGCCAATTGGAGCCCCCTCTTTTGGGTTGGAGCATCACGCAGCCCTCAGAACATTGCTCTGCTACCTCCCACTTGTTCCGCTTCCTCCAGCCATTTGGATAGGATTGCTTTCAGTTTGCATGCGTTTTTAAAGCTGAGCTGCAGGTTTTCAAATCGGCAGATAGTTGTCTGACTGAATTCAGAGCCGTGCACGGCCGCCAGGGCTTCCCCGACGTTGGTTTGGGTGTATCCTGTGAAAGGATGGCCAAGACCGTTAGCTGCTGCTTTCCAAGAAGCGTTCACTTTAGTCTGTCACTGCACAAATCTGCGTATCTTTCTTTGTCAGCTATTAAATACTGCTTTTAAGAACATATTTGTTGGCAATTTAAAATTATTTAGTAAGATTCAGTGTAAATTGTCCGGAACTTCAAAAAAATATTCCTTCTAGTTAATGTTATTTTTTTCTAGAAGTCAAAAGAATTCAGATAGGAACATCTGCCATTCATAACATTTAGTCAAATTGGATAGATGTCTCATAAACACATTATAAATGCTTAAAAGTTCTTGCCCTCTTTATCATTATTATTAAAAATATCTGATGATATATGCTCAAAAATCTATCATATATTAAATATAGTGCATAAAATATATGATGATATATCATAAATATTTTTATCTCAACTGTAGGAGTGAAAAATTCAACTATATTTTTGAAAGGGACCTAATAAAACTAAGAATTATGCTTACTTTCCCTAAAAACATGTTTATTATGAGACTATGATCACACATTTTATGTATACCTCTGAGCACATTCATTATATTATTTGGTAATGCTTCTATCTCCAGGCAAAAGATCCTCATCGATTGTCCTAAACATTTTTAGAGTACAAGTTGATATAAACCATCAACATAGAATTTGAAATATTCACAGCAATCTAAATAGCAAACTGAAAATGAATGTTATAACAATGCCTACTTCTGTGTTTATTGTAACTACTATTAATTCAGGGCCTAAGGCTAGATACCTGTATGCATAACATGATTACATATGATGCCTATCAATAAATATCATTACAAAATTATCTGTAGTTCACTCCAAAGTGCAGCGGTTTGAACTATCATCTTCAATCCATTAAAAAAAATACACTACTTCATGAATTTAAATCAAAGTTAATTGTCATAGTTATTTTATGTTAAAAACACCTTTCAATAGAAAGTAAGCAAAGGCTATGAACAGACAGTTCACAGAAAAGGAATTACAAATGACAGTCAAACACAGGAAAGAACACTTGCGAACTTCACTCATAAACTACCAGGAGGAACCACTTCAACCTATCTGATTTTCAAAGATCCAAAAGATTAACAGCATATTTTTCCTTCAACAACTATTTATTTACTCTGTGTACCAATCACTGTTCTTAGTGCTGAAGATATACTGTTACGCAGAAAACAAAGAGGAATAAATAAAAAACCAAACACTCCTGCCTTCACGGAGATTACATTCTGAGGGGCAGCAAAAGAGACTCATGGTGGTAGTAAAATTTGGTACAACTTCTATGCAGACCAATTTGACAACAACTATCAAAATTACAAATATACATACACTGGTTCTTTTTTTTTAGCAGGGAAAGATTCGCTGTGAGCTAACATGTGTTGCCAACCTTCCTCTTTTATTTTTTTCCTCCGCAAAGCCCCAGTGCCTGTTTGTATATGCTAGTTGTAAGTCGTTCTAGTTCTCTATGTGAGCCGCCTCGACAGCATGGCTACTGACAGATGGGTGGTGTGGATCCACGACCAGGAAGTGAAGCTGGGCCGCCGAAGCAGTGAGAGCGCCGAAGTTTAACCGCTAGGCCATCAGGGCTGGCTCCAAATGCACATACTCTTTAATCAAGCAATTTTGCTTTTAACACTTTTCGTACCCATATATTTATATAGCTGCAAAATGACATTTATGAAGTTAATCATTGTGGCATTGTTTTTAACAGCATAAGATTGGAGACCCCCTAAATTTACCATCAGTAGAGGACTGGTTAAATAAATTGTCGTATATTCATAAAATGGAATTTGACAGATCTATTTAAAATAAAAAAAAGCTCTCTAAAACCTAATACGGAAAGCTCTCCAAAATAAATAAATTAAAAAAAATCTGCATGAAAAAACACAAGTATTTGTTTATGTATGCATAAGATATCTCTGGAAGGATACACAAGAAACTAGCGACATTGATCAACAAGGTTTTTGTAGGATATTCATAACTGGACTAACTTAAGTCCACAGTGAGATGTGGAACGAGAACAGTCTTGGACTTCTGACAGAGGATAAGAGACTCAACAGTCAGAGAGTGAAGATTTGCAGACTGAGTTAGGTGCGCCAGGGCTCTTAAAAAGCACATACCGGGCCGGCCCCGTGGCTTAGCGGTTGGGTGCGTGCGCTCCACTGCTGGCGGCCCGGGTTCGGATCCCGGGCGCGCACAGACGCACCGCTTCTCTGGCCATGCTGAGGCCGCGTCCCATGTACAGCAACTAGAAGGATGTGCAACTATGACATACAACTATCTACTGGGACTTTGGGCGGAAAAAAATAAATAAATAAAATCTTAAAAAAAAACAAAAAAATAAAAAAATAAAAAGCACATACCTAGCTTAATTCTTCTCACTTTAAATTCATTGGCAAACTTTTCAAGTTCTCGGATTTCTGGAGAATCCATGTCTATCGGCTCTTCAACCAATTTACTTTTCCGCCGGAGTTCCTGCTTGAAGTCAGCGGCTGCAGGGTCCTCTGCCAGGAGAGGCTGGTGCATGGGGGGAAAGCCATGACCCAAAGTGTGGTCAGGAAACTTATAAAGACAAGGGGCTAAGCTACCTGTGAATAAACAAAGAAAAGGAAAGGGCCATTTGTAATTATCTCATTTCTATACAAGCAAGGATTTTGCCAATAGAGCCCATTTTTCAGCTACAGCCTGTCTCAATTCTTCAAGATTACCTGGCACTCAGTCTTCTGAGGTAGAAATACAGAGTAGCTTAGTATAAATGTGATTATTTATTTTCCACATTCCCTGGAGCAGCAAAAACAAAGACAATGCCAAAGGAAAGAAGCTGGAAATTGCAAATAATTACAATAGAAATAAAAAAAATTCTCTTTGAAGCGTAAATTTTCCATCATTTTTTCCGCTTAAAAGACGCTTAATGTTGGGAATCTGAGGTTCAACTCTAACCAGAATGTATGTTTTGATCTCTGTTTTCTTATTTCATTAAACAAATAATCTGTGATGTTTGTTGTAATCAAACTTAGCCCAGAGCTAAGTGCTATGCTGGAAGTTTTCTTATGATCAGGAAATAGATTTTACAATATTAAAAAATAAAACAAAACACTGTTTTATCAGTAAATACTTAATTTCAATGGGAAATAATTGTGTCTTTTTTTAATTTAACAAAGGCAGGTAAAAGAGAATTATGAGAACATAAAATACATTAATATGGTTAAATGGATTTGAGGAGTGAATAGACATTTAACAAAAGGTAACTTTAAAAGTTCTGTTAAAAAGTCATTGACAAGATTTTTTGAAAAGTATACAATATAATGGAATCATTTTTTAATAATTTTTTTTAGAAGCAAAAATAAATGGCAAAGAAGTGTTCAATTCTCAGTATGATAGGCATCACCCACAGATGATGAAGCAGAGTTGACTGAGTGGGTTAAATCATAAATCACAAAAAAGCTAAAAGATCTAATTTTTTAAAATTGCTTCCAGATTTCATTCTTTATTAGGAAAGAAGAGTCTAACTCAGTTGGGGAGCATGGATGAGAGGATGGTATATAAGCCAAATTCCCACACATTTTGCTTCTGTTTGCTTCATCAATACATTATAATTTTTATTGGTAGAGATTTCACTTCAACTGATACTAAATGACACATGTATAACCAAGACATTTTGATATAAACAAAATACTGAGTAATTAATCATTTTTCTTATGAGTATAAATAAATATTTAAACTAGAAATAAACTACTACAGATTATATGCAGTAATCATTCTTGGAAAATTGCTGAAAAAACTATCAAGAGTTTATGCTATCTATAATTTCTCCATAAATACATTCACAAATCAAAGACATGAGTAATAATATATTTTGCCAGAATATATAAATCTTACATTATATATCAATATTTAATGAGCAAAGAATAGTGTAAGTCAGCAAATTTTTGGCTTCTATTATTTATATGAGAATATGTAATTACAAAGTGTGCCCTTATCCAAAAGACTATACTATTTTTCTGAAGCAAAGTAAACACAGAAATGAAAGATTAAACAAAATAAAATAAAATAAATTTGGTAACTTCACAGCCAAAAATATATCTAAAAAGACACTACTCCTACATAGAAAAATTCATGCTACTTTTGCAAACCAAAATTACCCAGTTTTACTTTTTAAAAAGTCAATTAATCATCCCCTTTATACTTGAGTGCGTGGTATATTGACCAGACCACACAAAATTTAAAAAGAGAAATTTTATCAATTTTTAATTTATTACTAGCTTATTTTTTAAAATATTTATTTCTTTTGGTATTTATTTTTTATCTTTCTATTAATTTTAGACTTCCGCTAGTTGAAATAAAAGAAAAGACTAACGTATATAAGAAGAAAACTGATCACATTGGTTTCAGTATCTGCTTAATATTTAGCTCAAGACTTTTCTTTCACTTGTGCTTTCAGAGTTGGATCTTATAGATATGAAAAATCTTCACTTCTTTCACCATTCGAGAATATCAAATGTCACTTGATGAAATAGTGTACAAAACAGTAAAAGCAGAGAGAAAAAAGTCAGGCTGCTGTTTGATTTTGCACATTCAATGTATTTTAAGACACTTTAGATAACTCATTTAACCTCTGTCAAATTATTTTTATTTTATGTAAGTAATTTGTTGCATATCTTTCTACATGACCATACCACAAGGTCTGAATCTGTTAGCAATCTTGATCGTGATTTCCAATTTTTTTTGCCAATCATAATCATGCACTGCTAACAATCTTCTATGTGATACTTTATGCTGTGTTCATTTCACATTTGTCGTCTTCTGATCTTTATATGCACAAGTTAGGTAGGAAGGATGTGTAGTTTTTACCCACAGTTTAAAATTTAGGACATTTAAGTAAAAAGAAGTTAAGTAACTTTCCGTGGATGCCACGATGAATGAACTATGTGATGGAAACGAGAACTGAAGTCCAACCAGCACTGCAACAGACCTTGCAGAACTACCGCCTACTTAGTTTCCAGGCAGTGTGTACTCAGGTGAATTAAGTGACTTTCCTTTAAAGGCATTCCCTGCAGCTTAACCACACTTGGCTGTATTAAACAAGTGCTTTCAGACAAAAATATTATGATTAATTATTAAAATATTAGAAGCATGCCATCCCTAGTTTTGGAAAATTTTAAAGGTAGTTTACACATTATAAATACTCTGGATAAATAAATATTTAGAAAATAAATTTGAACATGAGTCCATGAAAAGTATACAGAAAATACCATATTCAAAGGTTTGGCATCCAGAGAAAAAAGGACAACACGACGTGTGATGCGTTTTCATCTTTCACTAAGTGCGAGCATCCGGTTACTGGCGGGGATAGTTTCCCTGGAACTACCCTTAGACAGAAATTGATCACGACAGTCATGGGCACAGCCAAGCAAGCCGCAGTTTCCGTCACAGGATCCTGATTTAGGGGAGAGTGAGGAGTGATTGGCATGGTGTATATGGCAAGATATTTTTTAAATTTTTCTAAAGCCTGCATTATTGAAAAAGGCAAAAGATAAAAGATGTGGTGAGCATGTGCAGCAGAGATCTCATAAAAAATTTCCAAAACACTGATAAAGCAAAATTGTCTACAGATCTAGACAGGCACACACCTAAGAAGCTTGGAAGAGTTGGCACATTCTTTACTGCCCAAAGCGTATTTTCACATGGCAGAATAATCACTACAGCCTTTCTGAATTGCTCTGTGTGTGTTTCTGTGTGGCAGAGCGGGAGAACAGAGGGAATCTTTTAAAGCAGGCAGTGGGGAGGCGGAGGTCGGGCTTGCCTCGCAGGGCCCTGGCTCAGTGTACCATGGTGTGGGGCAAACTGCTCTCTGCAGTATGTAGCTCTGCCAGGTGCTAACTGACAATATCTCTGAGGTTACTGGCTTGACGGCTTAAAAGAACAGGGAAGAAGAGGACACGGTAAAATACACCACCTTGCTGTAGACGTGCACGGGAATATGTTTTTGAGTACTTCCCTTTATTTTCCATTTTTCCCCCCCTCTGCATGACAATGTGAAGCAAATCATAAATTTGAATCGTGATCTTTTCTCTTTTGTGTATTGGTAAATCCTACCCATGTACAACAGAGGTCCTCTGCCTGGTGTTGTAAATTAAGTTTATTTGGAACACAGCCATGCCCACTGTGTGTACATATTGCCTGTGGCTGCTTTCCTGCGACCATGACTGAGGGGAGTAGTTGAGACAGAGACAACAAAATTTAGGGAAAATATATCCTGTTACTGCTACCGAAAGGCCTTTCATGATCCAGAGGCAAAAGATTGTCAGAATTACTCCTTCCCTCAAAGTTAACAAAACTAGAACAAATTAGAGAAAAAGAATAAATAAAGAAAAGAAAGAGAAAAGAAGACAACTTAAGAATGAAGAGATGGACTCCAAAGTTGGCCACGTCTCTGTGTCAACTGTCAGACTGACTTCTGGAGCCTTTTGCGTCAGCCCAAGTGGAGAGGGCATTTTCAGCCGTAATAATCCTTTCTCTTTTTATCCACTTTTCCTAAAAGAGAATGGACCTTCTTCTTCTTGGTTAACTCACAAACATCAGCTATTTTGCTTTCTTCTTAAAATTAATTTTTGAACAATGACTCTTACCCCACGTCTTGGGTGGCATCATGTCGTCTAACCTTGCTGGGTTCAGCAATCATTACCATGTAGCTGATTTGCTCAGTTGCCACGTGACGGTGGAAGGGTGGACAGACCATTGAGCTTGTTCCTAACTTTCACCCCACTTTAGAAACTGGAGGACAAAAATAATCTCAGATATCCAGGAATCAGAGTTTTGAAGGGTTTCTGTTGTTATTTTGTTTTGTTTTGTGTTTATCTAGAAGAGATTTTGAATGGCATTTATAATTCCCTGTTTCCTGTTACCCATACTGTAGGCTGTTGAATTATCTAAATTCTCAGGAGTGAAGGGACAGAAGTAATTTAGCTGCAGGTGTAAGTAACAAGATCAAGGAGGAAGCCAGGTTGAGTTGGTACAAATCTGCCACGACTTTGAGAGTTGTAGTACCCACCACAACCTGGGGATGAAGAGACTGAAACTCAGACATGTTAAGTGACTTGAATAAAGTTCGTAGTTAGTCGTGCTGTGGCTAATTCATTGCTCCCAATTAGTCATTCTCTTTAGTATGCCCACACCTGGACTCGGAGGCACAGTGGACTCATCCGAGGATTAAAGCCCTCCTTACCAACCTTATCAAAATATTAGCTGTAGCTCTTCCCTTCCAGTGGGTTTTTAATTTAATGAAATGCTCAAACTAAATGTAAGCATCCGAGTATGGGTAATATAATAACCCATTAAAATAAAGCAATTTCACATCATTTGAAATATAGTTCTTTGTGTCACTTCTCTTTCCTATGGCAATGGAAGTGAACCTGTGACAATGAACCTTTGTTGTTGATGATAAGATACTTCCGTAAATTGCATGGAAGTGGCTGATTTGATGAACGTCTTGAGATGTCTCAAAAAATTCAAATGACATTGCCAAGTTTCTCTTGTGTATTTTATACCTTTGCTCTCTTATTTCTGAATTCATCTGTTTTATAACTCAATTTGTATAGCTTCTCTGGGGATGAAGGCAGGAGAATTCAGAGTCTCTGAGATTTAATCTGCCATGATGCAAATGCTAATACTGAATATATGTCAAAATGGTGACATTCTGACAAAGTGTAAAGCATATCACATTTTAATGATATCCCTCTCAAAAATATTCAAATATAATCTCTATGTTTGCCATGGTGAGTTTTTCTTTCAGTGACAAGATAAATTTAATTTAGTTTTAAGATGACAGTAATACCTCCAAATCTTAGGATAACCATTTTGTTCCTGATGTCACCAACCCATGCTTGGAATCTTTTTAAAGGGCTTTTCCAGGGGTCTCTCCTTTTTAACTGTGATGAGGAAGAGGGTTTGCTGAGTGCCCACCAAGGGAAGCACAACCTAAGCTGCCAATGGACTCTCTGTGTGAACCTGGGCCTTTTCACTCCAGTCCTGGAAAGTGGAAGGCCGTAAGAATTCTCAGGCCAGCTGCGAACTCACTAGGCCACAGCTGCTGGCCTTGATCTGGTGGGGAGGGAGGTGGTACCAAAAACCATTTTAGAGTATTTGGTGTGTGGCTGATTTTATCTTTGTGCTAACCTCAATCCATGGCTGCCTCTTGCTGGGTTGAGAGGGCACCTAAAGTTGCACCTGGGTTCGTGGGAATCACTGTGAATGAAGAGCAAGGCCTCTCCTCTGAGAGAGAGCAGCACATGGCCCTGCAATTGTCATTTCTTGTTCCATAGTCAAAACGTTGTGGGGGCCACGGAAAGCATTCTGCCTGCACCTCTGGTGGCTAAATGCACATCGTTTTACTCTTTTATAATGAAAGTAGTTCATCATCAATGGGGGCTGTTCTCATTAACCATGAGTACTGATTAACTACTAATTGTATGAATTATAAATGATCAGTTTTCAAAGGGGAAGAAAAAATATGGCTTTCCTTGTTTCTTAATTATTAAAAAGAGACATTAGTATTTACAGGTGGTCATTAAGAACACCAGTCTTCATTTTACCATAAAGGTGAGGATACTAGTTTATGCAGAATGCTGCTTGATAGAATGTAAGAGAAGCTAATTTGTTCTGGAATATTTTATTTTAAAGTTTTATTTAGTCTTAAACTGAAAAAATTTGCGAAATTAAAGGTTGGTGAACTAAATTCTTTGTTCAATTTTATTTCAAATTTATAGGCATATATCCATGTTTGTTTTATTACTTACTCTGGATGATAACAAAACAAAGAAAAGATTGCACTAATATGTGATTCCTTTATCCGTAGTTTCTCTCTCATTTCACACAAGCATGCACACACGCGTGCACACACACACACACATACACTCTTATGTTCTCACTGAGCCTTAGTAGTATATCGTCATCCATAATATTTTTCTCCCTGCTGCAGTAATATGTATAAAAGATCAAAGAATATCTAGAAAAAATCTGTGCACAACAAAATTGTGCACTTTATTAAACCATTAAAATATTTTCTCTGGCCATATCCTAAAATCAAGCCATAAGTTTTGTGATGAGTGGATGGCTCAGGTCAGATTTTCCTCTTAAGAAACGTGCTATTGATGCCTTCATACAAAAGTAAATAAATAAGTAGTTAGTCTTGATTTTGTGATGCTTTACTTAGCCAAAGGAGAAACAGATGTAACTTCACCTATTTCAATCACATTTAAGACTCAGAGGCAGCTCAGAGAGGGCTGTCAAAGCCTCAAACAACCATTGCTAAAGCTACTGCAAACCACTCTTAGCCTTCGATGACTTATATATCTATATGGACCAAATGTCCAGAAGAAATATTGTGATGAGAGGGATGTTCTATAAATCCGTGCTGTCTGCTTTGGTAGCCACATGAGCACTTAAAATGTGGCCAGTACAACTGAGAAACTGAATTTTAAATTTGACTTTATTTTAGTTAATTTACATTTAAATTTAAATAGCCACATGAGGCTAGTGGCTACCATACTTATACTGGAGACAAGCCCACCCATAGCATCACCAAGTGACAATCGACAGTTTGACAGTAGGGAATTAGAACAAAAATCATACAAAGCAAACACCAGAGTTGACAAGCACAGCAGCTCAGGGCTGTGTAGAATAGGGGCAATCAGGTATAATTATCATGGTCTCTGAAGGCATCACAGATCAGGGAACATTTCAACAAGCGGTGGTTTTACCAGCAATTTCCAAGGTTAAGAGATTAGGATTTCATGATGCGCTCTGGTCAAGATTCGCTCAGAACCAGGAAATCCATCTAAGTGTCCCCAAGTCAATCTCATATGTAAAGACAATTTTTCTTACCTGCCATCACTCCATAGGTTGATGACTGGTTTCCATAGTGACAGGAAGGAACAGAATAATGAAGTCCCGTTGCTGTGTTTCCCAATGTTGTCACCGAGAAATATGTGCGCAAATATTTAGGAGTTTGGATCAAAGACAAAATAGACGGGACTGGTAAGAAAATGTATGAGGATTCAAGACACATTCGTTTCATTTCAAGAATATACATTTATGCAATTCTTAGTTATATGCCAATAATTTTTTCTCATTTAGGGGAAATTCTCTGATGAGTAGGTTGAAACTAGGGGTCAAAGTTATCTCAAGTAATGAGATTATAAATCATCAAGAGAATTAAAGCTTTCATTAATTATCCTTTGCTCTGTGAAGGGGTGACTGACCAGTCTGGACCTTGGCTAACTGAAATTTGCTGACTTATTGTAGGTTCCACCCAATATAGATATTGCAACAAACCTGCTAGAAAATAATCTCTTAAAATTCTTGTATAACATGGTATTATAGAATGGCCTTTCTCTGGAAGAATGAATACAGAAATCTACTCTCTAACAGTCTTTACTTTTGTTTATTTTCCTAACAAATTTCTTCCATCAAAGAGGAAATGGCAGAGCAACTAGCCTCCTATTGGATACAATCATAAAAATTCCACTAAATTCAGGGGTTTATAAAAAATTTATGACAATGTATTTATGTTGATTTTGAAACTATGAGGTTGCAGGTTTTCTGAATGCACACAACCGCTTCAACAATTCTAATGATAAAACGGGTCAAAAAATAAGTTCATTGAGTATTGAGAGATATTGTCTATAAAGATTGAATCTAGAATATAAACATAAGCTCATTCTTAAATAGTTATATGCCTCATGGAATCAACGTGTATTTTGAAAGTAAATCTGAATTACTAAACTTTTATCAAGCTTTAAATATGACTCAGCAAGTTGACTAAGAGCATGGACTACTGACAATAAAATCACCAGCCAATGTTTCCTTATGTATTTTATTTTCTCATTTTTCCTTCATATCCTGAATATAGTGGTGGATTTTTATAAATATAACATAATTACATCTTCTTGAATAAATACAAAAGATGTAAAGTGTAGAATTAGGATCCTTTGAAAATATCGAGATATAATCTAGTGATTAAAGACAAAGTCTCTTCAGAATTATCTCTAACTATAGATCAATCTTTAATATTTAAAAATATCTGCATAAGTTTTTATGTAACAACTGATATGTAGGAAGAACTGAAGTTATTTTACAGTAGAATGATAAAAATCTTACTACGCATTCTAAATTAAACAAATAAACTTAAAACACATTTAATACCCAAGAGCTCTTCTCATTATAACCAATATTTCTAATTCCTTACTTAGAACATTAGATGAATATGATTATAGTTTGATGGAAAAATTATAAAATCAATGCTATTATCATTTAAAATACAGTTAGATCATTTTTATGGTTATGATTTTTTTTACTTCCAAGGTTTACTATTTTTTGTTTCTCTGATTTGGGAAAGTTGTATAAAGCATAGGCTAGTTTACTAAATACATTGTTAATTTATTTTTAAATAAATAAATAGGATTTTGAGCCTAAACTTGCTAAATCATTACCTCAATTCTAAATTTTATTTTCATTCTGGCCAGATACTGTTCTCACACAGTAGATTAAACAAATAACGTATTATTCTCCCCATCCCCAATCTGTAGAAAGATCTTTTATTAAAAATATACAGTTAGCTAAGTGGTAATTGTTTAAATTTATTTATAGCACATCTTTCTGGTAAAAATACTTTATTATATTTTCCAAAAAAATGTGTTTGAGGATTTTTTTTTTACCTTTTTAATTAAATTATAAGAATCTTTGGTAGATGAAAAAAAATCTTTACATTAATGATTTTGCCAAAGATTAGTGCCAAACTTACATATATGTTTGGAAACTGCTTAATTATAATAAAAGATAAAGCTCAAATCCTTTAAATCAGAATATAAATGTATCAACTCAAATTTTGTTTTTTAAATGTACAAAATTTAGTTTATATTTAGATTGCTTTTAAAACAAGTGGAAAGTGAATGAGTATATTGCTATTTAATGAAAGAAATTTACTCAATGAAAGACTTTGTCCATTTATAAATCTACTTTAAAACACTATTTGTTACTGCATAAAGAACGGATGTATTAACAAATATACTTATTTGATTGATTGTGTTTAAGACAAAATATTTAAATTCCCAAGTTTAGTTTTTATTTAAGAAAGTTACGTAAGAAAATGTTAAAACTTGGTCAGAGGTTGAAGTCTCTCCAGAACTCAATCTTGAGAAAATTTAACTCAGTTCATGGGCTCTAAATGTTACATGCTGTTTCCAGCTTTGATTTTTGAGTTTTGAATTATGCTAAAAAGGTAAGTTTATTTAAATTATTTAATTAGTTTACTCTTTGAAATACATTATTGTTGGTACTGGGAATCATTTAGTTGTGTTTACGATGAGGTATATGGCTGTTTTTAGACATAGTAGCAAATGTAATCTAAATACCAAATAAATTTTTAAGATAAACATTAAACATTAAATTATTTTAGACTCTTTAGTTTTATTCCTTATCCATACACATTTCCATTAAAATGATTTTCAGATTAAAAATAGCCAAACTCACTGTTTACTTACATAGAAAATAGATCTTTATAATAAAACCAACAATAATTTACTACACTTACTAATATTTCTTGAAAAATTTCTTCGGCATTTTGGCTCTTGTAATATCCTTAATATTTAACTCAAAACAAATTAAAACGAAGGAAAAAATAAAAGAAGCAAAGTGATTGTAAACTAACAAGATTCAAAGCATCCATTCTGAACTCTGGAGGCCCAGCGGCACGTGGACCGCGGCTGGAGTCAGTACCTGTGGACATCACGTTGGTGGCGTGGTTGGAGACAGGGAGGCACTCGGCCGCACTGTGATGCATGATCAGAGGCAGAGTTGCAGAAGACTCGGAATTCAGAGGCATAAAGGTATCAGCCGAAGTAAAAGGTTGGCAACTCATTCCCACAAGAGAGTAGAAAAATGAGGAGAACCGCTGCTCCCCAAAACAGAGTGTTATTCTATTATCGTCTCAAAGGGCAGTTTCAAATCTCTCTCCTGCATATATACATCAGGAAGGCTCTGAAGCCCAGGAGGGCGCGTGCTGGTGTTTATATTGCAGGGAAATCCCTTTATACATGTTAATCATCTGTTCCCAGGGGTATTGCTGTATCAGTCTGAACCCTCTTTCTTCTCCTCCAAATGTAATTCCTGCCCAAGAGGGAAGCTGGTTCTTAGGTATAGACTGAAGGGAAGGGAGAAATCTGAAACTTTATTTGGCAACTTCAGTAAATCAGACCTTTTAGGAAGGAATCAAGAACTTCAAAAAAAGTGTTCCTCAAAGAAATAATGCTACAATGAATGGAGAAATACTAGGTGTCTTTTTGCTGCTAACACAATGGCAAATTTATATATATGAGATTTTTTTCTTTTTTTAGATAACATTAAATTTGCAAAATAATGTAAAACAAGAGAAGTACTCACTACATAATCTCAAGAAATTATGAATTTTTAAGTTTAAATTGAAAGAAGCATAGAAGACTAAATGTGAGAATGAATGATACCAACTACTGATTCACTCTCAATAGTGCAATTTTGAAAAACTATGAGAACAAATTTAATTTTTACCATATAAATGGAAAATGGAAAAGGTTACATAAAATTGTAGTAATCTGTAGAGAAGATGAACACGAGTGATAGTATCTTTCCCTTGATTTTGATTTACTCGTCAAGAATGAACATCATCAGCTCTTACTAGATGTTGACACTGTTGTAGGCACTTTCTACAGTTACGTCAGCAAATCTCACAACATCTCTGTGAGTTATGTACCATCCTCACTAAACTTGACTGTGCCAGAGCCTCTGATCTTAGCCATTCGGCTCCAGAGCCTGCACTGAATGCAAAGTTCCCACACAAAATATATTGACAATACATGAGAATGAAAAAATAACATACTACAAACAATTGATTCAAAGATAAATATCAATACCATAATTTTACAATGGTCATGATTTCTACATATAAATGAATGAATGCAATGCTGTCTTCAGGATGTGTACTACCGGTAATATATCAAACAGAAATAACCAGACAACCATACAATTACTGACATAAACAAAGGCCATGCTTCATTAGATTTTTTGAAATTTTATGTTATAGAATGTTTCAAAATAACTTGGAATTGGTTACTTTGTGCTAAATTTAATGTTAATATTGATGAGAATACATTTTCAAAAACTTGAATGCTTTGCTAGTAATCAGTTGATATTTTGTAGAAAAAGAGATTATAAGGTTGCCCATCCACATCACTAGATATCGCCTGAAAAATATTTATTCTGAAAATGATATATTTTCCATTCTGAATTCTATATCTTTGAAGCTCTTTTAGTCTTCTTTAATGAGAGAAGAAGGTTACATTAATCAAAAGTATTTATTTCACTCTTGCAAAATTCTGGTAATTTTCAGACTTCACATATACAAAAAAGTGGCTTTTCACTGTGTTTATAAAGAGAATTTGCTAAGAAAATTAGATAAAAAATTTATTGGGCATTGAATGTTTAAAAAATTAAGCTAAGCGATATTTAGAGAGAATAGCACTTGAAAACTGCCCCTAATAATTTTGCTATTGTTATTTAGAGTCACTGGAATATGTTGGTCAAGTGTATCAACCAGATAATAGATCACGGGGAGAGCTGAAAACTCACCTCGAACAACAGCAACAAACTTTCCCCATAGTTTGCCACACTATGTAAAATTCTAAAATTGCAATCTTAGGCATGATTTCCTTAACAACGGTTTTAAAATTTTTAACTATTTATGCTGTGAAATGCAAACTAAAATGGTACAGTTAAAATTGTGTAAAGCCAGGAAATACATGTTCCCATTTTATATAGTCTTCTCATTTAGTACTATAAACTATTAATTTATCAGTTTTTAAAACCAGCTTTCTGTAAACAGTTTTGATTTTGCATAATATTGAATTGTATAGATCTATTACAATTTAACCATTTCTTTATTTTTTGGTGTTTTTATTGCTTTGTGCTTTTCAGTTTTATAAATAACAATTTAATTAACATTTTTGTCCAAAATTTTTTTTTTACACAATGCATTTTTACAATTTATCTGTAGGATTGTTTTGAATATCTCCCCTTAGGATAGATTCTGAGAAATGGGATTACTGAGTTAGCCTTATGAGAGTTTTAAAGTTCTTTAAACCTTCCCAGATTGCTTTAGGTCAACAGCAAAACTGAGCAGAAAGTACTGAGGTTCCTGTATACATCCTGCCCCACCCCAACCACATGCGCAATCCTCCCCACTGTCAACATCCTGCACCCGAGTGGTACATTTGTTACGACTGATGAGCCTCCGTTGATACATCATTATCACCCAAAGTCCACAGTTTATATTAGAGTTCACTCTTGTACCTTCTATAGGTTTTGACAAATATCTAATGACATATACATCATTGTGTCATACAGAATAGTTTCACTGCCTAAAAATCCTCTGTGCTCTACCTATTCCTTCTTTCCTCCCTCCTAACCCCTGGCACCGCTGATCTTTTTACCGTCCTCATAGTGTTGCCTTTTCCAGAATGTCATATAGTTGGAGTCTTACAGTATGTAGCCTTTTCAGATTGGCTTCTTTCACTTAGTAATACGTATTTAAGTTTCCTCTGTATGTTTTCCTGGCTTGATAGCTCCTTCTCTGAATAATATTCCATGTCTGGATATACCACTGTTTATTTATTCATTCACCTACTGAAGGACGTCTTCTTATTTCCAAGTTTTGACAATTATCAATAAGGTTGCTATAAATATCCATGTGCAGCGTTTTGTGTAGACATAAGTTTTCAGCTCCTTGGGGCAAACACCAAGGAGCATGGTTGCTGGATTGTATGGTAAGAGTGTGTTGAGTTTTGTAAGAAACTGCCAAACTGTCTTCCAAAGTGGCTGTATCGTTTTGTATTCCACCAGCAATGAATGAGAGTTCTTATTGCTCTGCGCCCTCATCAGCACTTGGTGTTGTCGGTATTTTGGATTTTAGCCATTCTAGTATGTGTGCAGTGGTATGTTATTATTGTTTTAAGTTGAGAATTATTTATTTATTTATTATTTTTAATTAATTAATTAATTATTATTAATTTGAGAATTATTATTAATTTAATCAGAGAATACTCTGATAGCATATGATGTTGAGCATCTTTTCAAATGCTTATTTTCCATCTGTATATCTTCTTTAGTGAGGTGTTGTTTGTTCAGATCATTTGCCCTTAAATTGGGTTGTTAGTTTTCTGATGGTTGAGTTTTAAGAGTACTTTGTATACTTTGGATAACAATCCATTATCAGATACATCTTTTGCAAATATTTTCTTCCAGTCTGTGGATTGTCTTGCAAACTGCTTTTTCAAATAATTTGTCATGTTACGATTTGGTTTCAAATATCAGAAACAGTTGAGCAAACAATAGTCGCTTATTATTAGGAGACACAGAGGTTTCTTGGAACTCACAGAATGGAAGGAATTCAGGCCACAGAGAGAGACTGATTAGGAAATGGAAAGCCACTTGCCCGTCTCTCTGACTCTCCTGTCTCTTTTCCTCTGTGTCTCTCACTTTCTCACTCTCTACAACACAGCCAGGTTGATTCTCCACCCCCAGATCATGCCCTAAGCCTTTAGCCAGACAAAGATTGCCCAGCTGTGTCTCAGTCTACATTTATAGAGAAACGTTTTGATCGGCCATGGCTTTTGTTGTGTTCCAGAAGCACAACGTGGTTCCCGTCTCCACACTTGTGAACGGGTCGCTTTGCACTGGAAGTGTTCCGGCATTTGTAGACGAAGAGGGAAAGACTGCTATCTGGGAAGACACCCTTAAGATGTGACTGACTCTGTTCCACCATTTCACAGTAGCGCCAGGAGAGTAAAACTGACATTTTTGTTGCATTCTCAATGTTACTACAGTCATACATCAGTTAACCACAGGGACATGTTCTGAGAAATGCATTGTTGGGTGATTTCTTCATTGTGTGAACATCATAGAGTGCACTTACACAGACCTACGTGGTATAGCCTACTACACACCTAGGCTGTGTGGTACTAATCTTATGAGACCACCATTGTATATGTGGTCGGTTGTTGACCGAACTGTCGTTATGCGGTGTATGACTATAATAAAATTTAAGTACATAGGTTCTATTAGTATGTTAAAACAATGGCATTTTATTAATTTAATTTGCATTTTTGATTGTTGATATGCTGACTATCTTTTCCTATTTATATTAACTATTTGTATTTATTGTTTGTTAAGTAACGATACTATATTTTTCCCTTTTATTTAAGATCCTTCAGTTTTATTATCAATTTGTATGTGTTTCTAAAATATATTAAGAATATTAATTTTCAGTGTTTTATGATTAAAATTTTCCTAATTTCTTGTTTGTCTTTTAAATTTATATTGGACATTGACATACATAATATTTTATGCCTGAGCTAAATATGTTAATCTTTTCCTTTGTGCATTTCTTAATGATTTTAAGTTTTAAAATTCTCTCTTATCCAGAGGTTTGGTTTTTGTTTTTGTTATTTTGGAGGCTTGAAAATATCCTCTTGACACTTTAAGCTGCCACATGCATTATGTTTATAGTTGCTTAAATACTAAAGAAAATTGTAGCAAAATTTGAAAACTGATAAATACGAAGAAAAGTCCACTTCAAACTAAGGTAATAAAAAAATATAGCAGAAATCTTGATCAGGCAAATTTGTTAGTCTGGTTCATTCACTGTACCTCCTCTTCAGTTAAACAAAGGATTAATTTTTTTAAATACACTGAGTTTTGACAGAATGATCACAGTTTTTTCTTTTTTTTTTTTTTCTGAGAAAGATTCACCCTGAACTAATATCTGTTGCCAATCTTCCTCTTTTTTTTTGCTTGAGGAAGATTATCCCTGAGCTAACATCTGTGCCAATCTTCCTCTATTTTGTATGTGAGTTGTCACCACAGCATGGCTGACAAGTGGTAGGTCCATGCCCAGGATCCAAACCTGAGAACCTGGGCTGCCAAAGTAGATCATGCCAAACTTAACCAC